GGCCCGTAATAGCATATTATTCATTTACTTTGAATTAGCACGCTATCCAGTCGTGATTATCAGCTGTCCACCGTCGCACTCGTTAGTGTTGACGATAACACGAGTTTGTCTTGTCCGGCAGTCGGTACATAGGACAGGTCAGGGGGGGGGGTTACAGCACCGCGAGACACGTCGTTGACTATGTAAACCAATTCATCTGTGACTTATATCTGCCGCACGCGTCGTCGAAATATAGAGATATCGGGCTTTAATATTATCATTATTTNCTGTGACTTATATCTGCCGCACGCGTCGTCGAAATATAGAGATATCGGGCTTTAATATTATCATTATTTACTTAATATACTTTAAATTATTTTAATTTTAGGGTTATAGTTAAAGGTCTAATAAATTGAATCCACAATTACTTTAATCATAACGTCGTTACAATTTATTTTATTAAAACACCTTTATAACGAAATAATTAGTGAAAAATAATGATATTAAGCTTAAAAGTAAAAAATACGCCCATAATATAGTAATACCATTTATGAAGCTATTGGAAGTGAAATTCTGATGATCTTTTTTAATTTATAGTAATTATGTTGAACTTGGGAGAAAGTAATAAAAGACATACAATTTTCTGGTTTGCATTAATTATTTAACTAGAAAGAGCTTATATTTAAATGAAGATCAAATTACTTGAAAACATGGTGTATAAATTATAACAAACTTATTATAAATTATTATATTATAAAAAAATAACAATATTGGCATTTTATTAAAAAAAACGATCAGACGTGTAGTTTAATGCATGCTGATAGGGGCTGTTTTATTTGCATGAACATAATTTATAATACAAATACAAATTATAATTAATACATACGAAAAAAAAAACCATATTACGATATTTAAACTAGTTATTATTATTACTATTATTTTTTATCAAATTTATAAGTATTCTTACATAAATTACCAAGCATACATATTTAAACATTTTTACTTATTTAAACTTTCTGTACAATTTTCCTCGAAAGGTAATGGATACAATTGACGATCAGTATGTTTATATACATTGGTTGCTGTACGAATAGTAGCGACTCGTACGACACCGTCAGAACCACTATGAACTTCTATTACTCTTCCATTTGACCATTTTAAAGGGGCCAAGTTTTCATCAAGAATAACCATTTGATTGTGGCCATTTTTTTCCTGTAACTGTCTGAGATATTTGTTCCTCCATCGAATCCATATTTTTTGTGTAATTTGAACAAGANTCGAATCCATATTTTTTGTGTAATTTGAACAAGACGTCTACAGCGAGTTAGTCTGTTCTCCATAACATTTGTTACGTCCCGTTCGGAAATTCAGATAGCGAGTTACCTATCAAAAAATTACCAGGTGTTAAAACCGATAAGTCACTTGAAATCGTGGATAAAGGTGTTAACAGTCGAGAATTTTATATGACTTCTACTCGAACAAGTATTGTATATAATTCTTCATAATTAAACAGAGAACAGATTTAATAGACGTTTTCCACAATCCGCCAAAGTAAGGACTTCGGCCGGAATGATATTACTAAAGACTTAAATTACTTTATTACTTAATTCTTTTTTTACTTCTGGTTTAGCTAAAAGTTTATGTACTTTTCGAAGTTATAGATTAACCGCAACAAAGTTTTTACCGTTTTCTGAATACATGTCCGTTCATAAACTATGTCTATCAGAGAATCTTAGTAAAGCATTAAAGAATGACTCCGCTGTCAAGAACGCCTACTAATTCTATATGAATAGCCTTAGTAGGAAGGCAAACTAAGATACTGATGTATGCTTTAGTCTTAGGCGAATTTCTTAGTAAACCAGNGATGTATGCTTTAGTCTTAGGCAAATTTCTTAGTAAACCAGACCGTACGGAACACTGGACAAGCAAAATCTACGCCATATTTTTTAAAGGTTCGCACGGTTTGGACTCGGTCCTTAGGTAAGTCATCCATGATGGGTTCAAAAACACATTTTCGAAATACATTTCTTGTATTTCACATACTCTGATTCCCACAAATATTTTGAACGAGACGATGGAGAAAATATCTAAATTAATACCAATATCGAATCTATCCAATAATAATATTCATTTATAGACAACTGTAATTTTGGTGCATATTCTGACATAAAGCAAGCGGCCAAAAGCGCAACTAACAGTTAAAGCCGAGGTATATGTGATAAAAGTGACATTTATCAATTTTAACATAAACTTAAAATGATGTTCATAATAATAACAAAAATTTTATTGTCGTTTATAAATAAGAAACCCTATTAAAAGTATAACTATACAAAACTAAAGTTATGTTTATTCTATAATACGCGAAATCGCACATATTTTATTATTTTTCCGAGAATGAGTTCAATTAACAAAAAAATATTAAGAGACCATTTTTTTAAAACATGTTTTGTACTACATTTATTGTTCTATATATTTTTTTGTAAAATGAAAATTGTAACGACTATATGTCAAAACAACGGATTTTACGAATTTACACAAAACTATAAGCTCAAATCGGCATCGTTAACATCGTTGTGCCGCCGACTAGATACAGTGATACACATATTACTACGTGTGTCATCCCCTATATAAGTATGTATTCTCAAAAATTAGAAACTTTGAAGTTTTATATCTAATAAACAAATAAAATAAGGTTAAAAAACCCAGAACACGGGGTCGCGGCACAGTGGTGCCGTGGTATAGTTGGATCAAGTATAATGATATCTGACAGTGATTAAAATCACTATCAAAAATAAACGCTTCGATGCAAATCTTTAGATAGTGTTTAATTTTAAAAAAATTGGTGTTTTATTCCAAAAGCTACTTGATCTGCTGGTTCCTTATTAATTATAGCATTATAAAGTTAAATATAATATAAAAAATAAAATCGAGAATTTTCACACGAAAATAGCAATTTTTTTTTTTTAATTAAAGCATATTACATTAGCTTTAATTTAAGATATATATAAAAGTGTCAGACCTTCCGGAACATTTTCAAAAGTTAAGTTGAAAAAATTAAATTTTTGTAAAAAAGTTGTCATTTTAAATCCTCCCCTGTGGGCAGATAAAGGGTCAAATTTACAAAAAAAATATACCAAATGATAGGTAATGACATCAAGCATCTATAAAAAAAAATTATATTGATATGTTCATTTTTGAAAAAGTTACGGCACATTTTAGTAAAAAAAATTGAAAAAATTTCGAAAATTAACGATTTTTTAATTTGTAATCTTTTTGGAGGTTTCCCCCATTTACGGGGTACGGGGGAATTTTTATCAATTTTTAAGGGTAATGTCTTCGACTAGATACGATTTGTGATCTTTTGACGTATCGTTGAAATAAATCCGTTCGGTAAGAGCTGAGAAAAAGTGGTAACAGACAAAAAATTTTATAAAATGTCAAGATAGTCACTTTGTAAAGTAGATTTTAAGATATAATTTGGTAATAAAAATTCTCATTAATTCTCAGTAGTAATTTGTCTGTTGCATTTTGAAGTTTGCGAAAATTTAAACTTTTCATGTGTTCTTTTTTCGATATCAAACATTATAATATGGACCCCGTTACGTTGTCATGAATTTATTCTCTACTCTCACTAGGATGCTGTTATTATCAAAAACCATGAGAAACTTCCTTGTTTGTTGATGCCAGGACATGTTGTTCAACTTGACGGACAACACAATAAATGTTCTCAAACTGTACTCCGATTTTCTACTACATATTGTAGTGAATATCGGACTGAATCATGAGACTTTCTACGTGTTCTAAGAACACCCTAAAACTTTTAATGTAAATTTTAATGTATAAAAGTTTAATAGGCGCCAANCACCCTAAAACTTTTAATGTAAATTTTAATGTATAAAAGTTTAACCGGCGCCCATAAGAATTACAGATGTTGAAAATAAGTGGTTTTATCATCAGCGCTATTAGTGAATATTCATTTATTGTATTAAGTTGAACAGTACATGATTATTATTTTAAGATAAAATGCATAGTTTACAATGATACAAATAATAGATTATAAGATTTTTGTAAGATGGTCACTGCAACTTAATTGTGCATATTACGGCACAATTGCAAATCAAAAGTTGATTTTAGGATTTAAGAAAATTAATTTTTCGTGTATTTAAGCCCAACAAAGAGCCGTTTTTCTTAAAAAAATAAAGTAATTATATTTTCAAAGATATTTTGTGAGGTGTAATTAAGAGATTTATACATAGGAATTTGCATAAAAAAAATAGTAAAAATGTCGTCAATCGCTATTTAGAGTTGTCTGTTAGGTGAAAATTCATTGGTTTTATACAGGGTGTTCAGTAAGTTAGAAAACAGTTAAATTGTTACAAACAATGAGTACAATAGAAATTCGTTTCCTTCTTTACTGAACACCCTGTATATTTACATGTAAAGTTAGTAAATATTATTAAAACTAAGTATGATTTGTGATCTTTTACCTACGATCAATTATAGCAGGTAGATAGAATTTATTATCAATTTTAGTAGTAAAGCACATTATGTGAGTTTATAAATACATCAACTGGCAATACAGAAAATATATCTATTGATAGTCATAATTCACAGTAAATACTTCTTGATTGTGGCAGCGATATCATAAAAAACCAATTAACTACCTATATTTATAATCCCTTGTGTATTATATACATGTATATTAACTCAAAAATTAAAAAATTTTAATGTTCATATCTAATAAACGAATAAAGTTATATTAAACATTTTTTACATGTGTATGAATAGGTCGACTAAAATAATTAAGTAAATAATAAAGTAAATATACATAAGTTTTACTCAAAATAATTTTTTAAATTAAAGAATAGAAAATAATAATTAGTTATGTTGATGATTTTTTATATATATATATATATATATATTTATTTATTTATTTAAACAATAGATTGTCATTAGTTATTCATATTATATTACAAGGGTAAACACAGGTAATAATAAGAAGTGTAAAAATGGAGGTGAGTAATACATTTTATTTAAAGTACTTAATTGAAATCTAAAAGGTTTTTTTTGATTTTATTCTAAAACTGACAACTAATATATTTTTTTTATGACAAATTTCTATTTTATTTTTTCTAAATATTTATCACATTTTATTAAGATAAGAATGTGTTTGTGGCAACCACGATTTGTCCAACTTTTTTTTACATGCGTATGAATAGATTTACTAAAATAGTTAAGTAAATAGTGTTTTTAAATTAAAGAATAATCAACTATGTCCGAAAATTTTCATATATAAACACCTATTTAAATAAAAAATTGTCATTAATTATTCAAAATATAACATTTAAGTAAAAAGAAGCAAGGTAAAAATGGAGGTGGGTACACATTTTATATGAATTATTTGATTGAAATCTAAAAGGTTTTTTTGATTTTATTCTAGAACTGGCAACTAATATATTTTTTTATGACAAATTTCTGTTTGATATTTAACGAAGGTAAATTTAATTTTACATTATTTATATGTAATAAGTTTATCAAATAAACTTTATAATTTATATCTAATATCTGAAACATTTTCAAAAGATAATTTCATTAAGTTAACTTTTACTAAATATGTTTCAATGTTTTAGAAATTTCCATACATAAAGCGTAGTAATTGAATTTTTAAAAAAAAATATTTTAAACATTTTTATATTTAATATGAAAAAAAAAAACAAATGTTTTGAATGGTATAAATTAAATAAATTAAATTAAAAGTAATATCAATTTTAAGTCAAAAATGTAAAATCTACGAATTTTGCTGAAATTAAATTGTAATTTTTAAGGATAATTCAATTTATTAAATTTATATTTTTATGGTTTGAATATATTTTTAATTAAATATATATCATACTTATTAGACATACAGGGATGATACAGGTAATACCACCCAATCATATAAAATGACACATGATTTCATATAAAAAAATTTTAGGTGGAATTACACGCATAGGAGTGTCCTATGGGGGTAATTAATAATAACAGATGTTAAATAATTATATTATCTTAAAAAGAGTATATTGAGTTATCGTAGCATGCTATGTTTATTTGATATTTCAATAATTATTGTAATATAATTATCATAGATTAGTTAAAATTTAAAACACTATCAATGAATTATTGGTAACAACATCACTAAAAAAAAAACGTTACTGTTATTACTTATCAAAAAATCATTGGTCGGTCTTTTTATCGTTATTTGATACTATAAAATTGCTTTGACAAGCTGCGTCCGTACACAGGGAATAATTAAGAAAGAAGGATTTTTTCAAAAACCCGTTACATACGTTAAACATTTCTAATATGAAATTTTTTTTGTGATTCTTGGTCATTCTATAAAATTTTGTTCAATGAAATGCATTATTCCACTTTTTTAGTATTAATCTCTAAATTCAATTGACTTTTTTTGAACGTATTTTTCACTACTAACTTTAAAATATTTATTTATTTGTATGACCATAGCTATATTTTAATCAATGTCAATTAAAATAATTTAATTATTATTAATGACTTTTCAAATAAGAATAGGTAGTTGGTAACTTACGATATTTTTAATTCGACTAAAACACTCTCATCATCATCATCTTTCAAAGTCCAATGCCTTATCGGTGAAGTTACTCTTCTCTATTTGACGCTAAATTCTTCGGTGAAACAAAAGACGCATAGGTTATAAGTCCTAGGATATGTNGTGAAACAAAAGACGAATAGGTTATAAGTCCTAGGATATATTCAAAATATTGTATCCTTGGGCGTTTTCTTGGTTTCTTCCCAGTTATTTTTCATTCGTAAACATTATATTTTAGTTAATAATGTGGACTGAATTTTCATGATATAACTTTTATATTTCACATTGGAATACAATTTTAGGTACGCGTATGTTCGTCGGACTTACTATTCGATATCGGTTTTACGACTAACATACAACAAAAAAGCTACATTGTACAACTCCTTACCTATTCCATAACAAGTTACCTATTGTTTTTCCCCAATATCAAACAATAGGTTTTTAGTGTAATATTTTTATAGTATCAATAAATAGTTTATTATTCTCTTATCTAAGACTATTTAAGGTTGCCAGAATATAATTCAATGAGCTATTAAGAATAGAAAACTGATTCTCATCATTAGTTAATTTGTTATTTGAAATCCAGTCGTGAAAAGCAGAGCTTGAAATTGTTTTAATAACGCCATAATTATAACTTTATAACTACCATAAAACAATTTGAATTGTAAATGTAAAAAAAAATGTATAATAATGACAAACAGAACTGATGTTGGTGAGTTGCGGCCCAATCTCCAAATGAAGTATGAGTTGAATTTTTTTAGGGTACGTATGAGTTGCGTCCAGGCATTTTTTGAGGTACTTATCAGACTATAAGNTTTTTTGAGGTACTTATCAGCCTATAAGCGTTATTTAGGAAATATTACGGGTAGGTTGGCTGTGTAATTCTTCTTCAACAGAACTTGTTAGTAGGAGGTGCATAGATAGAAGGACAATATAANAGCGTTATTTAGGAAATATTACGGGTAGGTTGGCTGTGTAATTCTTCTTCAACAGAACTTGTTAGTAGGAGGTGCATAGATAAAAAGAACAATATGAATACTGTTGTGTTGAATTAATAATAAATCATTGGTTGTCATTAAGTCGGTATATACCCTTTTTACAATTCCGAGTGACTAAACTTTGCTGGTTTGAACAAAGAGAGTAATCTAATGCTTTCTTTTTTTTTTAAAAAAATTATTCAAAATATTTCTATTTAGGACATTTTCATTAGTTTTTGGCTGTAAAAATTAATATTAGTGAAAACACTATTACTATCTACAATTTTATTTGAAGGAGATAATTTCAAAAAGTACTTATAGTTGTTTTCACAGCAAGCTCATCTCTGTACATTATTTTTAAGTGTTTTGTGAAAACAAAATTTGAAGCATTTGTAGATAATAAGTGGCTTCGATTTTTAACTCGATTGTAGCTGAATTCAGACTGACAAATTAAATATGAATTGATGTACTATAATATGAACGTTATACTATAATGGTTTAAGTATTAAAAAAAATCCGCCATTTCAATATAGGATATTTATCATTACAAATGCAATAATAACTCAAGCCGCAGCAACTCATCTCATGAAAAAGAGTCATCGGGCAAAATTCCACGGTCTCTGATATCGTAAATAACTTGTCGGCTGAAACTTACAGAACATAACTACAAACGAAATATAACAAAAAACCAAACAAAACAGAAATCGAAGACATATTGTTGAATCCTTATAACTTATAAGATAAAATTATTTTGAGGAAAATAGAACTGCATTGTTTTTCAACATTAACTATGAGGGAAATTCTTACATGCAAGTAATTACGGGTTAATTCATAATAAGATAAAAAATTATCAATAACGTGTTTAAATATAAAAAACGTAAACATAAATAATGGTTACAGTAATCAAGTTACAGTAACTTAGTGAGCCGGTAGAGGAGATAGAAGTTAATGTTAAATCAAATTAACAATATGGTTTGCGAAATCAGAGGTTCTAACACACAAATGTTCTGACTGATTCTCTGCCGGACTCTGACTGCTTTGTCGTGGTGGTGGCACACAAAGGATAAGTCAGCCGATTACATTATAGTCAATTGAGGCCAACTTCAATATCCTGATGGTTTTAAAACAAATAAAATTATTAACATATGTAAAAAAAATAAGACATAGTATAATTCAAGGATTCGTAAAAATATTGTTTAAATACCAAAAACAGAAAACATTATAAATCTATAACGTTTCAATTATTTAAAACAAATAACATAGTAATATTATAAAAGTTTTTACTGTTATAACGTAAAATAAAATAAATGACTTTGATTTATGTTCTGGTAAAACAAATGTGCTGATTAATTGACAACTATTAATGTACTATATTGACATTTGTTCAATAAAAATTATTCAAATGTATTTTAATTTGAATAATTTTATTTCAAAATTATCTAAATGAATTTTTCATGAAATTGTTTTAAAATGTATTATTCAAATAAATTTTTTATCTAATAAATCGAATTAATATTTATTTAAACAAATAACACAAGAAAACAACCAACAAAGTCGGGTCATTGCATAGTTGAACCAAGTAAAGATGATATATGACATTGATTAATATCACTATCATAAAAACGCTTCCTATACCAGTATGTTAAATTTCCATTTTATGCAATTATGTCAATTTTTAAGAACGCTTTAAGAATAAAAATAACATTTATAAAACCCTCATAAAAGAGTTTATAAATGGTTATAATTCATAACCTATTCTTTTTTTTTTTTAAGAACATTTATTAAAAATTTAAAAATTATACAGCTGTATGTACAGTAAGTAAATATGCGACAAGAAACAAAATAGACACCTGTGTATGAAAATTTAATTAAATTGGGTTAGATTACATTAAGTAAGTCTCTTGACTAATTACGTTAGAGGCGCCTGTTTGGATTGCCCGGGAGAGTTTTTGAATGTAGCTGAGTTATAAGACGGTTTGGATGGGATTGCATTTTGGAATGTAGTCTTTGGTTGAATATAGATGCAGTCTCTTTTACTGTTGTTATTTTGAGCTTTTGAGGGAATTGTTGGTGACGTCCACGGTACTTTGGTTATAATACGGAGACAAATAGACTGAAACGCCTGTATTGTCCTTGTATTAGAAGGCTTTTCAGTACCCCAGAGCATAATACTATATGACCATATTGGTAAGAGGAGGGATTTATATAGAAGTAGATGATAAGAAATGTTTTGGTTGTATTGAATGAGCGGTCTTATTAGATGAAGGCGAGTATTTAGCTATTTCAGTTTACTTTTAATATGAAAACCCCATATGAGCGTTCTGTCTAATAGTAAGTTCAGGTAGTTCAGTTCCTTGCCTGAGGAATAATGGTGTTGTTGAGAGTTATGTTAGGACAATCATTTTTACGAAGGGTGAAGGTGATGTGCACTGGTTAAAGACTAATTGTTCTATAAGACGTCGACTTTTGGGGGGATTTTTCAGGTTTTAAGATGGAGATAATGATCACTGTCTTCAAAATAGGAGGAAAGTAAGAGAGGCGAAAGATGTGTTAAAATATATGTAAGCAGTTAGATTGTTTTGGCGGCAGATATAGATGGATTCTTTGCTGTGGTTTTGTTGAGTAATTTTAAAGTGGGGAAGGGGTGGAAAATGTTGAGTAATTAATATATTTTTTCAGTGTGAATTTCATCTGAATTTACATTTTGTGTGTAGTTGGTTTTAATGTTTGAGATGAAATGTGATTTTCTGTGCTTTAGTAGGTCTTTATAAGACTGACAGCCCCTGTAGTTTGCCGAGTGGGAGCCTCCACATAGAGCGTATTTGGCCGGTTCATTTCGGTTTTTTTTTACAAACAGAGGAGTCGTGGTCTTCACCACAGCGAACACATCTGGGGTTGTAGTTTTAGTAACTAC